TGCATTAAGGTGAAAACAAAAATCCTACCATTTGTGCGCACCACCCAAATACTTATGGTCCAGTACTGTCCCGTCTGCAGCACCACCACTCCCTCCTGGTCTTACAGAAGACTCCGAGAGCAGTGGGGCCATAGGCTCCTGCTGCTGTCAGTCAAATCCTGTGAGGAGAGAGCTGGGGGCATGGCCGAGCCATGCTGTTTGTGTCTATGAATGCACACAGTCCAGCTCGGGGCACAATCCCACATAGGTGCCCTTTTCAGCACACGGCTTGCTTAGGGGGGCACCCACAGGAAAGAGGAGGAGACAGTACCGGTGGGGGACTGAAAAAAAGAAGGTAAGCTACCGTTCTGTGCAATATCCTTGCTCAGGGTACATTCTTGCATAGGTGCCCCCTTGGCATATGGCTTGCTGAGGGGGGCACCCGCGGGAAAGAGGAGGAGACAGCACCAGTGGGGGACTGAAAAAAAGAAGGTAAGCCACCGTTCTGTGCAATATCCTTGCAAAGAGGTAAGTATAAAAAATTATATTAAATAAAGGTCTTGTATCACTTTAAAGACATACTCTGAGCAAGCGGTTAAAGTGGTTTTAAATCCTTACATATACCCAGTGAAGTGGCTGGCCTCATGTGATACACAGAAATGAAACAAATCCTGTTATATAAGTTGTACCTGTTTATCTGTAGTATTTTCTTCTCTACATGCGTTCAAAGTCTAGAATTTATAAAGCCCGTCAGAGTTCAGAAAAAAGGGGGGGGAGAGAGCTGAAATTACACACTGCAGAGCTCTGAGAGCTGATTGGAGGGAAGTGACACACCCCCTTCCAAATAGCTCACAGGAATATAGCTGAGGCTGTCAATCTGCTGGAAATCCTTCCACATCACTAATATTTATCCTGGTGTCAGAAAAACGTGTCAGAAAAAAATGTCAGAGGTGATTCATGCTGATAGCTGAGGGACGAAGCAGGAGACAGAAAGGACACTTGAGACTAACGGAAACAAATACACAGTATAGAAGAATATGCTTTGTTCATATTTCATGTCTGAGGTTTACAACCACTTTAAATACACACTCATGGTACTTGTAAATCTGTCCATTAAGTTCTGAGATTTACATAGCCCTGCCAGGCAGTAGAACCAAGATTGCGACCAGAGTTTTTCATTATTGCCATAAAGCAATCCTACTCAGACTCCACCTGTTCCCAGTTTGCTACTTGCCAGTAAAGGAGCAGCAGCAAACTGATGAGCACATCTCTCCTCTCTCTCCTTCCACCCCCTATCCACGTGCATGCAGCAAAGCCTACATTTAATAGATGTACAGCGATTAAGAGGCAATGTTATTAAAACAGATTCAGGTACTTACATTAAATGCATTTTAAATTGCATTGAATGATTTTTAATTTATAAACAAAACATTTTAAAATGTAATTGTATTATCTACCTGGAGTTCAAATTGGAATTTGAATTAAAAAAAATAATTTATCATTATATAGTAAATTAATTCACTGTGCCTATCTAATTAAAAGGAACCTTACAAATGCAAGGTGCATCAATTAGTGAGCCTTCACTCACTATATATATATTTATATATATAGGCAGTGTATATATATATATATATATATATATATATATATATATATATTTAATAGCTAAAAGTAATCAAAGTACTTGAAATAAAAGAAGTAAACAATACTTATCTCAGACCTCAAGTTATTGCTGTTTCCTCTAGATGTCAGTGACGTCTGTGTACCTCAGTGGTGCCTCCTAGGAAAGCTAAGTACTCAAATCTGGCCAGACTTCACTCCAGGCACAATAATAAAAAAACATTGTTAACTATTCCAATCCCTACCCGCTCTAATAGAGTATGTTTTTGTCTGTGCCCTGTTGGAGAGATTTCCCCTCACTTCCTGTCAGGATAGGAAAGATCTCCAGGGACACATACAGCATTTTTTTGGTAAAATATAAAAGATGAGGTTGAAACAGAGTAAATGGATATAAAATGTGCCTCAAAATGTATGTGTCTGTGAAACAGTAAAAAAAACCACAAATTTCTCCATAGGCAACACGCATTAAGTCTTAAAGTGTTACTAAACCCATGACCCTACTTTCACTATATCTGGTCTCCCACAGTACACAGAACATGGAAATATATGTAAATTATATTATATTTATATGATATTTATGTAAATATAAACTGTTAAATACCTTTACTGATCAGTAGTTAGAGCAGTCTCGTGACTTCTATCAGTGTCAAAACAGGATGCATGCAAAAATACTAAAGTAAGAAGAGAAAGCAAACGACCTGAGAAAGAGAAAATGAGACATTTATTATCTGTAACAGAGTGCAATAAAGAATAATGCAAAAAGTGACAAAATGGTAGGAGCAATGAACTCACTTAACTCATATAATTGGGCTGCATGCATTTCAGTCTGACCCCATCTGGCTGAGGCTTATATTCATGCCCAAGTCATGTACCTAACAGTCATCCCTACTATACTACCCTAATAATTTTGGGGGCCCTCAACCTCAAATAGTATCCATAATCAGGGGCGGACTGACCATTTGGAAACTCGGGCACCGCCCGAGGGCCCGGGGTCAGTAGGGGGCCCCATGAGATGCCCCTGGTACCTTTTTCATAGGCTTTTTTGAGTTTGGGCAAGAACACGAGGGCCCCATGATCCCCTATTGCCCGGGGGCCCCATGTGTTGTCAGTCCGCCCTGTCCATAATACATTTTTTCCAGCACGGGACATTTTAAGCACTACTTTCATGATGAAATTACAATACAAGTATATTTTATTTATATCACGATACTTAAAACTGATATAAATAATAGAGACACACCACATGCATTGCACTACTGATCTTTCCTATCCATACACACTTTGAGCTTACCGCTAATTGGCACTTTTTGTGTGCATATTTCTCCTTCTACGGTCACCTCTAGGGTTCCTGGGCCAAAACTGGGACTACTTTTATGCTTGGCTAATGTGTAAATATATTACCATACCTACACTAAATTGCTCTTCATCCCCTGATGAAGTTTTTTTTGAAATGCATTGATATTATCCCACATATGTGACTACTTAAACAACTTAACATACTAATGTATTCTTATTTTCCTATGTGGGATCATGAAGAAACTAAATGTAGATTGATTTGGTGATTAAATTCAACACTCTGCCAGGCATTGATTTCCACATTGTATTTTAATGACTGTGATATAAATAAAATTTACTTCTACTGTAATTTTATCATGCGAATAGTGCTTAAAAAGTCCTATGATGTAAAAAATGTTGGTGTGGATAATTTTGGAGATGTTGGCACTTAAAGTGTTACTAAACCCAGGACCCTGCATTCACTATATCTGGTCTCCTACAGTACACAGAACATGGAAGTGCAAATATTTTAGTAAATATAAACTGCTAAATACCTTTACTCATCAACAATTAGAGCAGTCTTGTGACTTCAGCAAAGCACTGGTTAAAGCTTGTAGGAGGAGTTTTCTTTCTGCTCTAGGAGGATGCAGAACCCCTGACCTCTGTCTGGACAGTGCTGATTAACCCTGTGCTGATCACATGCACTCTCCCAAGAAAAAAACCTCTCTAGCAATACACACCAAACTAAGCATGTGCAGAAGGTCTCCACACAATATATCTTATCAGATATATCAGATAAGAAGGGGGCGCTGGAAGAAGGGGAGGATCAGAGAAGCCAGGATCGAACAGCATTTTTACACAATGCAGAGAATTAACACCTTAGGTTCCACAGTGAGTATAACAAGCATGCTTTACTGCATATACAGACTATTTTACTGTTGTGGGTTTAGTAACACTATAACCATTACTTGTGAATGATAGCCCTAGAATCATAATCCTCACCCTGGCATAATATGTGTGACATGTTTGTCATTTTTATATGCATGCACACCCAAAGTGCACATTTGCATTTGTGTGTGTGTGAAGGTAGGGGCTTTTTTAAATTTATTTTTATTATCCTATATCTTTATTTTTTTCCACAATTTTTCTTTTTCTTACTTAAAGTGATACTAAACCCTCTTGGTTTTTTTTTTCAATTATTTCAGAACAGTAGGTCCACACAAACCTATTTTGCGTAGCCCACTTCTTCTTAAACATCCATTTCCTCCTGTAGCTGGGGGTCCCAAGGCACCTGTCCCTTTGTAGGTGTTTTGTTAGCTAGCCATGTTCTAAAGAGACACTTCTGCAGCCATGTGTTAAGGAGATTATGTGTGTTTCCTCCCTGAGCCAAGCTGTGTGCATCCATAGAAATACATAGTGCCGGAAAGCCACAAATCTGTACCCTTCATCTAGCGGTTTGATTGGTAGCATCAAAAGCCTATTGCTATGCTGCCCTCAGTGTCTGCTGAGGATCAAATAAGTTTCGGGAGTGGCGCTGATGGGTTTTGGACCCAGCGGCTGTGACAATGACAACAGGTAAGTGTTTTGTGGACAAGTTGGGTAGTAAAAGTACTGGCGATTTTTTTACTTTAATATTGTGAATGCATTAACCTCCCTAGCGGTATGATTATTTCAGATTTTTGGTGCTGAGAGCGGTACCATTTTTTTGCATGGAAATATGTTGTTTTTGTATTGCAGCCTGTAGTTTTTAGGAATAACTCACTGAAATCTGTCCGAACAAGAGTCTAATAAACATCCCGGGTATGATAAAATTTGAAACACGAAATCATAAATTATAATTTAATAAATAATCATAAAAAATAATAATATAATAATAATACATTTAATTCAATAATATAATCAAACCAAAAACACTGAAATTTGAAATATAGCGCCAAGTTCGCACATCGCTGAACAAAGTCGCAAAATCGTTTTCAGTGTCTGATGAGGAATTTCCCCACGAATCATTATCACTCAATTCTGCAAGTGGTTCTGATTTACTATCGCTGTTCTCTAGCTGATCTAAAACCACTTTTGACCTAAAGGGACACTTTTTGGACGCCATGGACTTTTCTCAGTTTCCAGGCAGAAAGAACAGACAAAATGCAGGCAGGGCACAGGACAAAGCACTAGGGACAAAATGTATGTGAAATGGGTTGAAACAGCAATGTTTTACTATGTAAAAGTTGTTTGGAAAAAAATGACATTTTTTTAAATTTTCAAATTTCCCACCGCTGGCAGCGCCCGTACGTCCCGACGTCACAGGGACCGGAACACAGAAGCCGGATGCCGGCATCGGCTGGAGGAGATGGCCGGGGACGCTGCAGGGGACACATCGCGGGAGCGAAGGACAAGGTAAGCTCTGCAGGGACTCCCTATGCAGCGCCGCATGGTAAGCCCGAGTGTAGCTCGGGGTTACCGCTTTTGGTACTGACATTTTACCCCGAGCTACACTCAGGAATACTGCCAGGGAGGTTTAAAGGTAAAAAAAGGTGGAGTCTTTAGAAGTATTTTAACTTTATTGCTATCACAAGGGGCTGATATGTGATGTGGTGATAGCATATTGCAGGTGACTTAGGCTGGCCATACACTATACAATTTTCTTGAGAATTTTGCTTTAGGTTTACTAACAAACATATATTATGAGGGTCAAACCTAAACAACACTTTCAATTGTATCCAATTTCAAGCCCTTGCACTACATAGTTGAAGGTAAATCTAAAGGAAATTGGGCAGAAATTGGACAGAAAATTGTAAGAAAATTGTATAGTGTATGGCCAGCCTTACTCTCTTAAAGTGGTTGTACAGTAATTCTATGAAATGAAAAATGAACAAAGCATATCCCTCTAAAGTGTGTACTTGCCCCAGTCCACTTAGTGTGGATCCTATCTGCTCTGTCCTTCTTCTGTTATCTGTATGAGTCACTTCTGATAGTTTTTCCTGACACCAGACAACCCTTGTCTTTATAATGCCACCACTTCGTTAAGTTGCTAGGAGTGAAGAAAATAATTGGCAGGTATTGAAGAGCAAGTGACACTGATTGGCCAATTATCGAGACCCAGAGCTGGTGCATTATGAGAGTCCAAAGGCCTGTCTAAGCTATGATTTGAGTGACTTGTAGCTTAAACAAGATGGCTTTCCTCTGGCAGCCAATTAGAGTGGCAAAGTAAGTTTGTTCTCCTGGGAAGAGGAAGATTAAAGTGAATCTTTTGCTTTGCTGGGTTGAAGCAATATACAAGTTCCCTATGAGGTTGCCATCCTATCTTTGTTAAAATATATAAAGAAACGTGTATGAAAATGCGATACAAAGATAAATATCATTATTCATTTTTATTAGGATACTTTGAATTATATAGAAACCTTAAATACTGTTACATTTTTTTATGTTTTTTTTTTTACTGTTTTTCCCACCTAAGAGCTGCTGATCTCTTCCATGCTCTTTCAGTGAATATAAATTCACTTGCTCCATATCGGCTGCACATCATTGCTCTGGACCGGCTTCCTGATAGCGTCAGGGGCTTATAGTGATTTGTAGGGGCCTACTCATTGTATGTGCAGAGACCTGAATTGATCTGTACTAGAAAAGACGCAGGTCTCTACAAAAGCACACAGAAAACAATTGTTTTAAAAATAAAACATCAGCAAAATAATGTATGTAAACCATACCTCCCAACTGTCCCTGATTTCGAGGGACTGTCCCTGATTTGGAACAAAGTCCCTCTACCCATCTTCCACCTCATTTGTCCCTTATATTGGTCTGATCTGTACAGTTGTATATAAAATGCATTATTCATCTTTCAAAAAGTGTTTTACAGAGCTAAACCATTCGTCCAGTTTCTAAATTGTTGCATTTGTAAACTTCAAAAGCCAATAAAAAGGAATAGTAATTGTAAAAAAAGCACTTGCTTTGATTTAACTAATCTTTTTTTTTGGGGGGGGGGGGATAATTCTCCTTTAAGGGGGCACAGCAGGGAATCTGTCATTTACCTACAAACATTTGCTAATAGGTGTCCCTCGTTCTCATCTTGAAAAGTTGGGGTGAGTGTAAACAAGTAGCAATGTGAACCTTTTAAGCGTTTTTATGCATTTATTATTATTAATATACATGATTTATATAGCGCCAACAGTTTGCGCAGCGCTTTACAATATAAGAGAAACAGTACAATACATTTCAGTACAGAAGGAATGTGAGGGCTTTGCTCGTGGAGCTTACAATCTAAAGGAAGGGGGAGGTGTTACAAAAGGTGATAGCTGTGGGGGATGATCTGGTGGAGGTGATTCAAGTACAGTTCTTAGGTGGAGGTGCAGTAGGCTTCCCTGAAGAAGTGCGTTTTCAAAGATCGCCTAAAGGCAGACAGGGTGTTGGCTGACCGGACATGCTGTGGTAGGGAGTTCCAGAGGATTGGAGAGGCTCTGGAGAAGTCCTGGAGGCGAGCGTGGGAGGAGGTGATGGGGGAGCTAGAGAGGAATATATCATGGGAGGAGTGGAGTGGGCGATTTGGCCGATATCTGTGGATGAGGTCAGCGATGTAGCTAGGGGCAGTGTTGTGGATGGCTTTGTAAGCTGTGGTTAGTATTTTGAATTCTATACGTTGGGTTATTGGAAGCCAGTGGAGGGATTGGCAGAGAGGGGCAGCAGTCACTGATAGGTTGGTAAGGTGTATGAGTCTATCAGCAGCATTCATAATAGACTGAAGGGGGGATAGCCTGTGTAATGGTAGACCAGTGAGGAGGGAGTTGCAGTAATCGAGGCGGGATATAATCAAGGCATGGATGAGTTGTTTTGTGGTGTCATTGGTCAGGAAGGGGAGGATTTTGGAAATGTTCTGGAGGTTGAGGCGGCAGGATTTAGCCAGTGAGTGGATGTGGAGCCCAAAGGAGAGGTCAGAGTCTAGGACTGCGCCTAGCACCCTGGCATGAGGGGAAGGACCAATGGTTGTGCTGTAGATCTTAATGGTAAAGTCGTGAGTGGGGGATCGGGGAGGAGGAAATACCAGACTGTCGGGGATCAAGAAGGTTGTTGTCGGTGAGGTAGCAGTTCATATGGTTGTGAACAAGGCGCTCGAGAAGCAGGAAGCAAACAGAAGCAGGGAGATGGGTCTTAAGTTATTCAAACAGGTGGGGTCCAGCGAGGGTCTTTTGAGGATGGGGGTAACCAGTGCACGTTTGAGTGGGGAGGGAAAGGTGCCCATGGAGAGTGAGAGGTTGAAGATGCGGGTTAGAGAGTTTAGGATAGAGCAGGAAGGAGGCTGCAACAGTCATGAGGGGACAGGATCCAGGGGACAGGTGGTGAAGTGGGCCTTGGGCATTTAGTAGTTAGAAAGCATTAGAGAGTACTTAGTAGTTAAAAGTGAGAGTATTGGCAGCTTTAGGTACAATTCAGAGAGTGCAGGACTGCTTCTGTATTGCTGTGCATTGGGTAACATTAAAGTGTTACTAAACCCACAACAGTAAAATCAGTCTGTATATGTATGTATGTATATAGTATGCTTGTTATACTCACTGTGGAACCTAAGGGGTCAATCCTCTGCATTGTGTAAAAAGGCTGTTTGATCCTGTCTTCTACAGTTTTCCCCTTCTTTCAGAGTCCCTCTCTTATCTCCTAATAAGACATATTGTGTGGAGACACTTTGCACATGCTCAGTTTGGTGTGTATTGCTAGAGAGGTTTTTATTTTCTTGGGAGAGTACATATGATCAGCACAGGGCAAATCAGCACTGTCCAGACAGATGTCAGGGGTTCTGCATCCTCCTAGAGAAGAATGAAAACTCCTCCTACAAGCTTTAACAAGTGCTCTGCTGAACACTGCTCTAACTGCTGTGGGAAAAAGTATTTACCAGTTTATATTGAATAAAATAATTGCATTTCCATGTAGTGTGTACCGCTGTGGGATACCAGATATAGTGAATGCAGGGTCCTTGGTATAGTATCAATTTAAAGTGATTAGAAAACTATTTCTTTTTTATTTAAAATAAAAAAGAAGTTTTATTTACCTGCTCTGGTGTTGCACAGAGCAGCCCTTTGCCTCCTCTTCTGAATTCTTCTGTTGGCATTGTCCGCTCAACCTTTCCTGTCGGTGCCGCCTCAGCAATGTGTTTGCTGAGGGGGCACCTGTGTGGGCTCACTCCCAAGCTGGGCTGTGTGCATCCATATACACACAGCACTGTACTGCTATGCCCACTGCTCCCTTTTCTTAATGGATTTGACTGACAGCAGCAGGAACCTTTGGGTCCTCTTGCTGCCTGTGTGTACTCTGGAGCAAGGAAGACAGGAAAGCACCTCTGCAGGGGGGTACAGTGCTGAATTGATTTCTCAGTCAGGTAAGTGTTTGGAGATGGGGGGAGAAGTAGTGAGGCATTTGTCCCCTTAATGTATAGAGTGCATTAAAGCAAAAAAAAAATTTTTGACTTTAGAACCACCTTAATACTTAAAAAACTTTATGTAAAAAAAAAAAAAAAAAAAAAAGGCAGTGGCATCTACTCACACTACTCATTAGTGTACCAGTCCATGCTACCAATATATTTTCAGAAACACAAAGCATATCTAAGTTTGAAAACAAAACATTTATTATTATACGTGTGCGCACATGGGAGTCATTTTGTCAACGCACCAATCAGCTTCCAGGTTTTATTGCCAAACCTTCACTGAACAAGCTGAAGTTGGCAGCTGATTGGTTACTATGCACAACTACACCAGATTCTGAGCGCACCAGTTTTAGTAAATCCCCCCCAAGGAGTCTATTTATAAATATTTTCACTCAAGTTTCAACAATCGAATCCAATTAGAAAAAGTCGATTAGCAGTTGAAAATTGTGTGAATCCTGGGTTAAAATAGACCACTAGGTCTCTGAGTATCAATAGAAATGCCGATTTTTGCCTGATACTGTCAAAATCAACAGAATTGGGTGATAGCTAAAGTCCAAGGAAGAAAAAATGTGTTTAGTCGTTAAATTGCAAGAAACAAAATGTTAATGGCAGAACAATAACTCCAGGCAGATAACAGCATTTATTTTACTGAACTCCCAACCAGTACAAGATTGTGATTGGTTAATGTGAAAACTGAACTTTGCTCTAAATATGTTCCATTTTCACTGGTTTATTGAATAAGCCTGAATAGATCATTATTAGAGGTAATAATAAATAAAATACATAAATAATAAAAAATCTTGTGTTCATACCCTGTGGTGGAATACATACAGGGGTTATAGAAATCACATCTGTTATTTATTGAATAAATAAGAAGATCTTGCACAAAACACAGTCATGCTGCCTTGGTTGTGGCTGCTGGCTGAGCTGCATTTCTTTCCCCATATCACATTCCAGTCACTAACTTCAGGTCCATGCTTCAGCATTTGTTAACGCATTGAGCACAAAATTAAGCATTCCCCAGTAAACTATGTGTCAACTTTCTTACCACAGCTCTTGCAGTTTACACATTT